CAGAAAAAGAAAGGGAGAGAGGAGGAGGGGACGAGAGGAAGAGAGGGAAGGGAGAAAGAGGAAAGGAGGAGAAGAGTGGAAGGGACGGAAAGAGAAGGAGAGAGGGTAGGAAGGGGAAGAGGAAGAGGAAGAGGAGGGGAGAGGTAAGGGAAGAAGGAAAAGGAAGGAGAGGAGGGAAGGAAGAAAGAGGTAAAGGTGGAAGGGAGAGAAAGAGAAGGAGAGAGGGTAGGAAGGGGAAGAGGAAGAGTAGGAGTAGGGGAGAGGGAAGGGAAGAAGGAAGAGGTGAGAGTAGGGAAGGAAGAAAGGGAAGGAGAGGGTAAGAAGGGGAAGAAGAAGAGTAGGAGAAAGGTAAGGGAAGAAGGAAAAGGAAGGAGAGGAGGGAAGGAAGAAAGAGGGAAGGAAAAGGTGGAAGGGAGAGAAAGAAGGAGAGACGGTAGGAAAAGGAAGAGTAGGAGTAGTTGAGGGAAAGGAAGAAGGAAGAGGGAAGGAGAGTAGGGAAGGAGAGAGGGTAAGAAGGGGAAGAGGAAGAGTAGGAGAAAGGTAAGGGAAGAAGGAAGAGGAAGGAGAGGAGGAAAGGAAGAAAGAGGTAAGGAGAAGGTGGAAGGGAGAGAAAGAAGGAGAGGGTAGGAAGGGGAAGAGGAGGAGTAGGGGAGAGGGAAGGGAAGAAGGAAGAGGTAAGGAGAGGAGGAAAGGAAGAAAGGGAAGGAGAGGAAGGTGGAAGGGAGAGAAAGAAAAGGAGAAGAAGGGGAAAGGGAAGAGGAAGAGTAGGAGAAAGGTAAGGGAAGAAGGGAAAGGAGAGAAGGAAGAAAGCAGAGGAGGGAGAAAAGAAAGGGAAAAGACGGTGGTGTTACAACAGGCGGAAGGGATGGCAAATAAAGCAACCCAAATTGTATATTATAACCTATTAAATGGAATAACAGTGTATAAAAAGACAAATGTAAAAAAAGAATAACAATTATATGTGAATGTATACTTACAATGGTATGAGAATAAAAAACAAAAAAACTTGTTTATAAAAAAAACTCCCATCCCTGTCCTTTTAAGGCAGCATAAAATAATCCACTTTTTTTTTGACACCAGTTAATGCATAAACCAGGGTAGCTCTCGGGGTTTCAAGCACAATAAATTACACAACTGGTCTTGCAAGGCTGCTCAGAACTACTTTGCAAGTTTTAGCTGTACGTTTGGGGGGAATCAAAACTCTGCATGTGAAAAAAAATATCACCTATCAAATTATTTCGCTCAAGGGAGTTTCTAAAAACCCCGAAATCCTAAGCCCTGGATATACGACGCTGTCGAAATTTGCAACAGTAAGAAAAATTGGCGTGGAGGGACTTGGGGCAAAATCTGAGGGAGGCAACACCCACCTTGGTGTAGCACCACGCCGTGATGCATTCCCAGCAGAAGAGGTGCCCGCAGGGTGTGGCTGTGGCATGTCGGCGTTCCTCTAAGCAGAGCGAGCAACGGGAGTTGCGGCTAAGAGGCTTCTCTTCGGCTTGGCTTCTGAAGGAAACGACACGAGACGCAGTTGTTACTCTTCTGCGGCGAGAAAGGCGATTCCAAAAGAGAGATTGATCGTCATTGTTTAACGACCCAGTAATAATCCCTTGCGCGGTGGAGTCTGGGCCACTGAATAGAGCTAGCAGAGCATTTACTGGCCAGATGCGCTTTGTGTTGCCAATGAGGAGTTTTGTTCCGCATATATATTCCCATTGTGCCCAGAGAGAGAACTATCTGCCTCTACCCAGGATCGAACTCACAGCCTCGTGATTGCGAGGCGAGAGATCCACCTCTAGGCCACTGCAAAAGAGACTGATCTTTGCAAGAAATAAGTTTAGAAAACGACGAATCTCCCTCCACTCAGAATCTACAAACAGGGTCGTATATAAATATACCCATTTCTTTGATCTGTTTTTTTTTTCTGGTCCTACATTATGTGTTTTGGTCATATATTTTTACTACTTTAAAGCTCACTATTCCATAGGCCAAAAGTCCAGGTTGTGCATCACAATAAAAGCCTTTTAGAATACTAGATTTTAAAGTATTTTTAAACACTTAAGTATTTAATACTTAAATACTTTTTAAAGTGTTGTGGCCTGCTGGCAACCAGCAAAGCTGACAGCAGAGTCGGACAGTGAGGAGGTTGGGGGGGGAAGATGGGCCAGTCCTGGGAGCTGAGGAAAGCTCAGACGAGGGCTCTGCGTCGGAGGCAGAGAGGGAGCTAGACAGCAGTGAGGCAGAGGAACAGCTGGAGCCTGTTCCCAGTGTGTGCATGTGCAGAACTGCCGGAAGATAAGAACAACTAAGAAAAAAGCCACACCTTGGAGGTGATTGGCCCCTCCCATAGGAAACAAAAGAGGAGCGAATGGGGAGGGGGCTTTTGCAGGAAACAATTCGTTCCTTCGGTCCTTTCAAGAGTGGAAAATTCTGTTTGTGACTATAAGAGACTTTGTGCCAAGTTATGCCTTGTCCTGCCATTTGGAAAGTAGTTATTTGGCAGCTCTCCAAGCGAGATAAGC